TTCCATGCTCGTGGGGCTTGCTTTAATCCATATAAAACTTTCTTCAACCGTAACACTTTATCTTCATGGTTTTTGACCACGAAACCCAATGGTTGTTCAACATAGACTTCTTCTTCAAGATAGCCATTCAAGAAGGCTGACTTGACATCTAGTTGATAAATCTTCCACTTCATTTGCGCCGCCAAAGAGATCAGCAAACGAATCGTCTCCATGCGGGCAACAGGTGCATAGACTTCTTCATAGTCGATGCCTTGCCTTTGCTTGTAGCCTTTAGCCACAAGTCGTGCCTTGTATCTCTCCACATCTCCATTAACATTCTTCTTTGTCTTGTATACCCATTTCACTCCAATTGCTCGATGACCCTTGGGAAGAGTTGTTAACTCCCAAGTGTTTTTCTTCTCTATTGACTCGATCTCCTCATTCATGGCTTGTCTCCACCTGTTATCTGTAATAGCTTCATCAAAGTTCATTGGTTCACTGTCAGCAAAGAGACAATATAAAGAATCAAAATTAGTAACTTCTTCTGTGTCCTCATAGAGATCTTGAATACTCCTTGTCCTTTGCGACTGTTCATTTGAACTTTCTTGAGAAGAGGGAGATGCAACATTGGTTGGAGAAGGAGGTGGAGTTGTATCTTGCACAGGTTCCACGATATCTGGTTCTTCTTCCTCACCAAAGTATGGAAGAAAATCATATGAAGTTTCTTCCTGAGCTTCCCAGTTCCATGCCAATTCTTCATCAAATTCAACATCGCGACTTACCACCACCTTGCCGCTACTTGGGTTGTATAGCTTGTAGCCTTTTGAACTCGTATCATAGCCAATAAATACATGTTTGACACTTCGATGGCCAAATTTTGCTCTCCCTTGATGTGGCACATGAGCATAGGCTATGCTCCCAAAGATTCTCAAGTGCTTGACACTTGGCTTTCTTCCACTCCATGCTTCTTGAGGGGTTTGATCTCTAATATTTTTTGTTGGAGACCTGTTATTCAAATAAACTGCACAAGAAACAGCTTCGGACCAAAATTCCTTGGGCATACTTTTAGCTTTCAACATACATCTAGCCATATTAAGAATCGTTCGATTCTTTCTCTCTACAACACCATTTTGTTAAGGTGAATAAGGTACCGTTAGAGGGCGACGAATTCCATAAAGTTGACAGAAGTCATTAAATTCGTTTGAAGTAAATTCGCCTCCTCTATCGGACCTTAGAGCTTTAATTTCATAGCCACTTTCTTTTTCCACAAGTACTTTGAAATTTTTAAAAGCATCAAAAGCTTCAGATTTTTTGTTCAAGAAATAAACCCAAGTCTTTCTACTTAAGTCATCAATGAAAAGCAAAAAATATTTTCTTTTACCAAAAGAAGGTGGATTGATTGGTCCACACACATCAGTGTGGACAAGCTGGAGCGGCTTGGTTGATCTTGACATGGCTTCCTTTGAAAAACTCCTCCTTGCATGTTTCCCAAGATGACAAGCTTCACACAATTGATTTGGATGGTTGATTGATGGTATCCCATGTACCATGTTCTTTTCTCCCATTGATTTGAGTGCTTCAAAATTTAAGTGCCCAAATCGCATGTGCCAACACCATGATTCATCTTGCACATTAGCCTTCAAACACTTTGCATCAATTGTTTTAAGATTCAGAGAAAACAATCTATTCTTTGCCATATGCACTTTAGCAATTAGAATTCCACTTGAATCTCTAAGCCAAAGATGCATATTTTTCATGTGGATGTCATATTCCTTTTCAAGAAGTTGGCCCAAACTCAAAATATTACTTTTTAATTTTGGCACATAATAAACATCTTGAATTAACTTGTGACTACCATCTTTACAGGAGATCAGAATCGTACCTATCCCTTCGATTTGAACCTTTGAGGTATCTCCAAAGGACACATTATCGCTCATCGTTTTATTAATCTCCACAAACTTCTCTTTGCATCCACACATATGATTGCTTGCTCCATTGTCCAAATACCATGAGCTGCAATTATCTCTGTCTTCTTCCTTGAGTGTCATCAACAACATTGACTCATTTTCTTCTTTCTTGCCGTCAACAAGGTTAGCGTTTTCTTCAACATTGCTACGACATTCCCAGGAGTAATGGCCAAATTTATGATAATTATAACACTCAATTTTTGATTTGTCATACCTTTGTTCATTATTTTCTTGGTAGTAGCGACGTCCTCTTCCTCCTCTATGTCCACGACCACGACCTCTGAATGTTTGGTGGATTTTAACTTCATTGTTGAAGTTGTTACCGTTACTTCTTCCTCTTCCATGACCGCCACGGCCTCGTCCTCGTCCGTTTCCTCGATAGCTTGTTTTACCTTTATAATCCTTGAAGGATGCCTGAGTTTTAAGAAGTTTCTCCAATGGCACTTCTTTTCTCCTTTTGATCTTTTCTTCGTGGGCTTGTAAAGAACCTTCCAATTGCTCCACCATCATAGAGTCTAAATCTTTAGACTCCTCAAACACCATAAAATCAAATTTAGGTGTTAAAGTGCGAAGGATCTTTTCTACCACACGGACATCTTTTATGTCCTCCCCGTATCTTCTTAGTTGATTTACAACAGCCTTAACTTTTGAAAAATAATCTGAGATGCATTCGGATTCTTTCATTTTTAAAGCTTCAAAATTAGCCCTTAGAGTTTGAAGTTTTACCTTCTTCACCTTGTCAACTCCTTGAAGAGAATTTTGTAAAATCCCCCAAGCTTCCTTTGAGGTGGTAGCATCTGCCACCTTCTCAAACATGGCATCATCCAAACATTGGTGGATGAGCGTGAGAGCCTGTTGATCCTTTTTCCTTGTCTTTGCCAAGACTTCTTTTTCAGTTCGAGGCAGAGCTTCCTCATTATCTGGTTTTGAATATCCTCTATCTACGATTTCCCACACATCCTGAGAGCCAAGAATGACTTTCATACGTAGACACCATTTCTCATAATTATCTTTTATCAGACGTGGGTACTGAAAAGATAGCGGACCATTATTTGTCATGGCTTTGATACCACGTTGTTGGGATAAAAAATAATAATTCCGCCCAGGAATAATATCCATAGCAAATAATAACACAAGAGAGTAATAATGACACCAAATATTTTAGTGGGGTAAAATACAATATTCGAGCGAAGCAATATTACAACTCAGTAGTGTCAAAAGACTACTACAACTTTGAAAGAAATAACACTCTTTATTTAAAACACCTCACTACAATATTACAATCACTCACTAGTTATCTCACAGACAACAATCTGTGGATTACTCTCACTGCTTTCTGCTTCTCTCGTTATTTGGGTGTGTTCGAGATGAAACTGAATACTTCTATTTATAGGAGAAGTCACCGCACCTCTAACTAATCAAAGATTGGAATCTTCAATCAGAAAACCAACTTTAGAAAAATTGGTTTTGTCCACCGCCTAAGCCGTAAGTTTCGGCAATCGTCTCATTTTCGTTTCTTTTATTTTTCTTTGGTAGGTGAGGTATGGACCCCACAGAAGAAACCTACTCAGAATTTTAATTCTATGGGTTCCATATGGGGTTTCAACCACTGAACCCATTACTTTGGAGTTCATAATTCAATATTCTCAACAATTTATAAATCTAGATTTAGACTAAAAGCCGTGGGTTCAAATAAACCCACATCTAGAATGTCTAGTGCACTAATATTAACGAAGCCATGACAATTCGAAGCTCTGAGCTTGGGAATGTCTACTGCACCAAAATGGGTCAATGGAAAGTCAAGAAACTTATCATCTTCTTAGATACTCCTGAAGAATGAAAACAATGTTGAATGTCAAGCTTTAAATTGTTTTTTTTTTTGTCTTAAATAAATTTTGNTATATATATATATATACATACATACATACATACCTGCGAGAGCTTGTATTATAAACATTTATCTGGTGATAAAATAGAATGAGACAAATGAGATAGCCGAATAAAACGAAAACTTACCTAAACATCAATCACTAATTACCTTGTCCGTTAAACATGGCTTACAGCCAACAATATTCTTCTGGATCTTCAATAGTTAGCTGCCAGATGATCTACGTGACGTTGCCTATTTTGGTGAGGAATATCAAGAAATATGGATAACAATCAGTAGGATAAAAATAGCTAAAGTTCTTTAGTTACATTCCAGTCTTAATTCTTTCTTGCTAGGTTTTCCGTTTAGTTTCGTTAGTTTTGTTAGCTTAAAAATAAAAAATGCACACTTCAGTTGATTGAAGGTTTGATGTACTAGGTCAAATATCACAAGGATCAAAAGTAGAATATAGTAATAATACAAGGACCAAAATCACTATTTTTCCTTACTTTTTGTCATAATACACCTGGATTGTTGGAGATTGGGAAGTGTTTGAAGTGACATGGGGTGTGTTAGGATTGATAATTGTTTTAAATTTGATCAAAGGACAAAAAAGAAATTGGTTAGGTGGTAAGAAGTAAGGAATTGAGCTAATTTCTCATTTTTTTTTATGTCTTGGAATCTTGGATCGAAAATATTGATCCATTGGAAAAGAGAAAGAGCAGATTTGACTCGGCACAACTTAACGATACATCCAATACCAATGATCTGTGCCTAGAATGCGTTGCTAGATCTATGCACTAGAAAGTTATACATTATTTTCCATTCCGATTCCACTCGTTCTTGTCCTCTTTTGGAGCCTTTGTCTCCATCACTCATTAAAATACTGTTTTGAGCCTGTGTTTATACTTGAGTTTTTAACTCATTATTGTATTCCAACTTTCAAGTAGGATGTCCTTATACTATTATTCTTAATAGTTTGACACTATATTTAAGTTAATGAGGAGTACTAACTACTCTCATTAAGATTGTTTATTTAGAGAATTTGTCCTCTAGCATTAATATAACAAAAAATCACAGATCACAGATCAGTAGATCACAAAGCAAGGAGAAACAATACAAAATGATCAATATAACTAATAAGCCAGCTGTTATTCGTGCTACGAGCAATATTATTCAAGCTTCTTTCCAACATTAATATAAATTTAGCCCATCTGAGGAGCCATTAACTCAACCATTGATTCACTATCAGTAATTCCAAATGGAAACTCCTACCTATACTGCTTATGCAGCTGCATGTCTAGCTACACTGGCTCTTTTTTTCCTTTCCAAATATCTCCGCCAAAGGAAACTCAACTTACCACCCGGCCCAAAACCATGGCCAATCATCGGAAACTTTAACCTCATTGGCCCCCTTGCTCACCGCTCTGTCCATGAACTCTCCCTCAAGTATGGGCCCATTTTGCAACGCCGCTTCGGGTCTTACCCCGTTGTGGTGGGCTCCTCAGTCGAAATGGCTAAGGTTTTCCTCAAATCAATGGATATCAACTTTGTAGACAGGCCTAAAATGGCTGCTGGCAAGTACACCACCTACAACTATTCGAATATCACTTGGTCCGCCTACGGACCCTATTGGCGGCAGGCACGTAAGATGTGCCTTATGGAACTGTTCACCGCAAAACGGCTCGAGTCACTCGAGTATATTCGTACAGAGGAGTTACATTCTCTCCTCCATGATTTGTATAACTTAAGTACAGGAAAACCGATTCTGCTGAAAGATTATTTGATGACCCTGAGTTTAAATGTTATTAGCAGGATGGTGCTGGGAAAGAGGTATTTGGACGAATCCAAGAATTCGATCGTGACTCCCGAGGAATTTAAGAAAATGTTGGACGAGCTGTTCTTGCTAAATGGTGTACTTAATATTGGAGATTATATCCCCTGGATTGACTTCATGGACTTGCAAGGTTATGTTAAGAGGATGAAGGTATTAAGTAACAAGTTTGACAGGTTTTTGGAGCATGTTCTCGACCAGCATAACGCTAGGAGAAACGCTGAGGAGAATTACGTTGCCAAAGACATGGTGGATGTTTTACTACAGTTTGCTGATGATCCCACTCTGGAGGTTAAACTAGAGAGACATGGAGTCAAGGCTTTCACCCAGGTATATATATCACCTTCACAACTCATAACGTCTTATCAATTTCAGACAAAAGAAAAATAATAGCACACAAAAATAAAAGTACTACTCTAGTATTTATGAAAAATCTTATTAACCACGTACTAGATCCTTTATTGCTTCTACCACTTGGGTGTCACCACTGATAATTTCCTCACTAGGACCATAGACGGATCCAGAATTAAAATTCACCTTTCAGGTTTTTAGCATTGAACTCATTATATTTTTAAAGTTGTGGGTTCATATCTACTATTTTTACAATTTTAATGAATTTTTACTCCGCATCGAGAGTTATGGGTTCAATTAAACCAGTTAGTAGAACACTATATTCGCCCCTAACTAGGACTAAAAGTTTGGATCTTTATGGTTGACCGAGATTTAGTTGGTTCCAATGTCTATCCGCATGTTAAAACATATAATGGTTGACGAAATCGATGGCCAACTCCACTTTTTCTATGAAAGTTGGAGGGCTACGGGTCGAGAGAAAGTCAAAGTCAGTGGTCAAGTATTTCTTTCTTTTTTGGCGCTTGATGATAAAGAGTTAAAAATATGTATTGCACAATCAGGACTTGTTGGCTGGTGGAACCGAGAGTTCAGCAGTGATCGTGGAGTGGGCAATCTCAGAGCTGCTAAAGAAGCCGGAGATTTTCAACAAGGCTACAGAGGAATTGGATCGAGTGATTGGGCAGAACAGATGGGTACAAGAAAAGGACATTCCACATCTTCCTTATATAGAGGCAATTGTTAAAGAGACTATGCGACTTCACCCCGTGGCACCAATGCTAACTCCACGGCTCTGCGGAGAAGATTGTAAAGTAGCCGGCTACGACATTCTGAAAGGAACCAGGCTCCTAGTAAGCGTATGGACTATCGCAAGAGATCCTACTTTGTGGGACGAGCCTGAGGCGTTCAAACCTGAGAGGTTTCTCGGAAATTCCATTGATGTCAAAGGACATAATTTTGAGCTACTGCCATTTGGAGCTGGGAGAAGAATGTGTCCGGGATACAACTTAGGGCTTAAGGTGATTCAAGCTAGCTTAGCTAATCTTCTACATGGATTTAAATGGTCATTGCCCGATAATATGACCCCTGAGGACCTCAACATGGAGGAAATTTTTGGCCTCTCCATACCAAAAAAGATTCCACTTGCTGCTGTGGTTGAGCCAAGACTTGCACCAACGCTTTACTCTGCTTGATTTAGCACTAATTTTATTACTCTGAAGAAAAAACATGCATATAACAGCAAACTAGACAGTCTGCAAGAAAAACAAAGCTAGAAAGCTAACAGCTGCTACTGTGATTTAGAGGTACATTGTCACAAGATGATTAGAAGCAGAGCTAGGATTTGAAGCTTATGATTTTGGGGAAGGATTAGGGTAGAAGGTTGGTAGGTAGTCGAGTGTGTGACTTCCCCATACAGATAGTAGTAGTTAGTCAGCCTTATTTTTCGGTTATTGTCGGCCTTGATTACTATATGTTTTCTTATTATATTGTTGTTGATAATGCTGGTTCTCTTATTATCCTGTCACTGCTTGTTTCTTATTATCTTGCTATTGGTATTGTTGTTGTTACTGCTTTTTTTTTCTTTCTTAAGCCGAAGGTCTATCGGGAACAACCGCTCTACCCTCAAAGGTAGGAGTAAGGTCTGCGTACACACTACCCTCCTCAGACCCCACTTGTGGGATTATACTGGGTTTGTTGTTGTTGTTATTGTTGATTTTGGGAATTCGAATCGTTTCAAGCTACTGAGTTATAAATTAAGAATTTGTACATATGTAATGAATTTTTTAAGATAAATACATGGTTTTGAACCAAAGTTGGGCCGAAGCCCTTGCCGACACTCTTAGCTCCACCCCTGAGGTGCACATCATATATTTTTTTTCATAGGAACCACACTGCTTCAGGCCATTATCAACAGGTTCAGCAATAAAAATGTAAACAAACGGCAGAAGATTAACAATGAAAGAACAAGCATAATAGCTTGAAGAAAAAATAGTAGAAGGAAATATAAGGAGCATGCCTGAAAATATCAATACAGAGGAAACACGTTTTCTGTAGCGTATGACACAAGATTATCTAGAGGAACTAAGTAATATGTTCATTGACCAAACTAATTAGTCGGAAAAAACAAGGATAAGTAAGGTTTTTCACTAAAAATTCATCAATTTTCTCTGTCAAACTTACTGGGGTTTCTAGAATTTCAAGTAAGTTACAGTCTACGTATAACAAAACTAAAAAGAAACAAAAAGTAATTCACACAATTTCCTGGAAATCTCCAACTCTCCGTCCGAGTTCTTGAATTCGAGCGCTTTCTTTCGTATATCCAAATGAGCAGAGTCTAATGTCCATGCTATTTTCATAAGAGACAACTGGTTGGCTGCACATTGTTCCTCTGATGAAGACGAGAGTGGTTGTCCTATATGTTGCTTTAGGTATTGTATAATATATTTAAAACAAAAAACAAAAAGAATTACATCAAGTTTTAGAGTTACTTAAACTATTTTAAAAAATTATATATTTTGCTTCTTTATATATAATCAGAAACAATTTCTATATTTCATGCTATAGGTGTTCCCTTACATTTATTCAAGAACAAACGAATTAAACGTTTCAAACTAAAATCATATGTTTAGGATGTTAAGTTACGATTCCGTCTTTACTACTAAATCAAACAGAACGTAGACATTGAAAGGAAAAGGAACAATAATCCAGCACAAATGACCAAAACAAGTTACTGTGGTTAATCCATTTAAATAGATCTCTTAATACTTTTCACCATTTAAGATTTTCTAATCGACCTCAAATTTTCCCGATTTAGTAAAATGACCAAAACAAGCTACCATTTTCCTTTTCTTTACTAGGTTATGCATTGGGGTTGGTCGCGACTAATAACCAGGGTATTTGCTAGGCAGTTTGGTGGTAATCAGTGGCGTCAAATTCAGCCCATCAAAATATAAGTGCCCACTGCACAGATTATTGGCGGATCATTTTGGACGTAGCCCAAGTTAGTCCATCTAAGAATCTGGATCAATTTGGACTAAATATGTTGACCAAATTAATCAATACAAAATTAATCAAACTTGGAAAAATAAGTTTTCATGTTCCCTAGAACAACTCCGTCCCTCTACTGCAGCTTTTCCTTCCCTGCCTTAGAAGAAATGTTCTTCATATCTGACTGTTGTCATTTAAGCGTAATCATTCAATAAAAGAAGAAATGAGAAAACGAGAGATTTAAGGATCCGGAAATAAACCAAATCGGAACATCATAAAAGCTGTATGAAATCCCCTGTCGATTACACAAACACCTGACAGAATTATTTTGACCTCCGTCGATTATGTTGCGGAAGCCAAATGTATATAGTGTGAATAAGTCACAACTACTATACCAAAATTATGACAGTCACCAAATAATAAATAAGACAATAAAGCAACAATAAAGGGAACACCAGAATTTACGAGGTTCGGCTAATTTTGCCTACTCCTCGGACACAACCAATATTTTATTTCACTCCAAAAATACAAGTGAAATAATACTAAAGAGAGAAGATACAAATGCCTTAAACAGATGAGAAGGCAAATGAGAGGTGT